AGTTGGGTGAGTCCCTGCAGACATCTGCCACTGTCTGATGTGCAACTTCCTTTACAGCAGCATTTGATCCTCAAGACCTCATTCACCCCTTAACAGCTGCTCAGTTGCTAGGCATATTCCAGGTTGGGGGAGGACATGCCCTGCGCTTGGGTTTAATGATAGCACCCCCTCTGGGTTTTGGCACACTCTCCCTATGCACTGTTATTTCAATAGGAATAGGGGGGCTGGAGCTTCTTCTGCGTCAGGGCCATTGAAATGGGGGCACCCTAGAGAACAACTGCGCCCCCCCCCTCCGCTGGGTCTGCATTGAATGGGACACGCTCTCTCCTCGACAAACAAAGGGCTCTTGCAAATAAGAGGTCGTGGCGTAGGCTCCATCAGGCATATGGTAGATTAGAAGACCTCTGCACCACTTCTCCTGCTCTCCCTCCCCCCTTCACTCTGAGCTCTTCACTCATTTAGCATACAGGTGGGCATTACTCCATTGCAAAGACCACCTCTCTCCTCGACGCATTCACCCAACTTCCTCTTGTCCAACCGTTCCTCTCTCTTTCTCAATAGACCTCCAGCTTCTTTGTCTTTGTAGTTTATGAGCACAAGGTGTTTTTCTAACTGCCAATGAAGGCCTTTCAGCCCCTTTCCCCAGCAGGTTTGATTTCAAAGACATGTTACTTTTCCCTAGGTTGGAACTCGCTACTTGTTAATTGATTAGTTGATCAACATTCAAATGTCAGGATTATAAAAAAAAAAACTCTTTTCTATCATTTCATTTTACAATGTTAATAATTGTCAAATGATAGTTAATAACATTGATGGTAATTGCAGCTCTCCTATTCTCTCCTACAATATTTGTTTTATTCCAAATATTTTCAACTAATTCTGAATTGTCTATTATGTTTTCTGTCACAGATTTGAATTTGAGAATAACATTCAAAAGGCGAGGAGAGTCATCAATGAGTAAGTGGCTTTCTAGTATTGAACCTATTTGAACTTTATAATCCTCAAAGTAAAACAGCCTCTGTCTGTTTTTGATTTTTATTGACTGAAATTCCTTCATCTACCTTTTTCCAATAACAGCAGGATGCCAATTCGAAGAATCAACTCTTTGCCGGTGAGTAGATTTAATATTATTTTTGCTTAAAGCCCTGCATGACTTGTGTTCATCGTGGACAGATGCTGTAAAAATGCATCCTTTTTTTGTCTTAATTTGGCTGTTGGGCATTTATTTAGCCATAATATTCCCATCATAAAATAGGTCTCAGAGGAATTTAGAGTAGGACAAGTACACACACAAACACGGGGGCCTTTTAGCCTCACTTTCATTTTGCAGCTAGGTTTGAGTGACATGACTATCTGAAGGGCAGTTTTTCATATTTAACCACTTGGAAACATCCTCAAGTGAACATCTAGCTTGTTTGCTGAGCCCTTCTCTAACTTGGCTCCCTCTCTCCCCCCCCCAATCAGCTCCATCTCCAGCTTTGCAGTCCACCAATGAAGAGACGGGAAACAGATTCCCACCGCTATGGAATATTCGGACAACAACCCTCCCAAATGGCTGCCTCCTCCTCCTCTCAACGTGACAACAAGGAGAACATGCCGGAGGTCAGTGATGCTGTTTACTGTCAGTCTTCACTGAGAACACACGTCGTCTGATTTGTTGCCATGGCGAAAGCATTGCATCATTTGTCTTAAAAGCTTGACCATTACTAGCATTTCATTATGATGCTCAAAATACGTTATTCGATTAATATAAATGTTAATATCAGGTGTTTTTAAAGGGATATTTACCTGAGCACTGGAGTTTCTTTTCCCTCCTGTAAGTCAGTGAACTTATTTATTACTTTTATAAGATAAAGCTTCCGATGAGCATTGGTTTATTCTACCTCTTTCTATATTCTTTCGTATGTCATTTGTTATCTTTTTTTTTGTTATTGTGCAATTAACATTTTAAGTTTATGGTTTGTACAGACAATAATTGCATGCAAAGAAATTGTGTGCAGTTCACCAACAAAATCATTAGTGGCCATTGGGTTAGTAGTGTTGGAAAGGGTTTACTCAAAAATAAGGTGCTGTCAAAAGGCTTCTTAAAAACGCTTGGATTTTTACTAAACGATGTTCCTATTTTTTTGTTTTGTTGCAGGAGTGCTTTGAATTTAAGAAACCCACCAAGCCGGTGTCCCGGTGTCGTGTGCGCTCCTTGAACAGCGGCCAGGCGTTCTCCCACCGCTCCGGCTCCGCTCCGGCTCTCATGGTGCGTGACTGAAAAACCGCTGTCCACATCTCGTGCACATACAGGGAGTTATAAGATGCTAACACGTGTTCTCCCCTTCTCCAGTTCTCCTCACCTCCTCCGATCCAGCAGCTTGACTTCTTTGAGTCCAGCCCCATGTTCCTGAGGCGTACCTCCACCGACTCGCCTCTCAATGACGACGAGGACGCCGGCTTCCTGGAAGCAATGGATGACAACATGGAGGTGAGGCCCTTGCACACAGAGTTTCTGCTACTTAAGAAATCTACTAAACCATTGTTTTTTTCTTGGCATGTTTCATAACATCACCCTTTTTTTATTTCTCAGTTTTATCTTCATTAAGCTCCCAAAATACTAACTATTTGTCACCGACAGGATGAGTCCAGGATGCCGATGCCGATGGGAATGTCCTACCTGCTCACGGCCCCGCTGGTGACCGACAGTTCAGGAGAAGACTCTGTAAGTTTGTCTGCCATGTGCTCGTTAGTTTACTGTATGTCAGATAGGGCTCCAACAAACGACTCATTTGATAATCGATTAATGAAACGATTATTCGGATCGTTAAGGTTTTAACTGTACTACTACTTATATGATACTGCTTATCGATCCGGTCCGTTTAACGATAGTATTAACGGTTCTTTTGACAAGAAATAAGGTAAACTAACTAAACAAATTGTGAACAAAACTAACATTGCTTTTAATTTTAATTAAATGCATAATGTTTCACATAAAAAGAAACAACAATGTTTTAACAAATCATATAAAATAATGTGATAACAGAACTGTAAACAGAATAGCGGAAACTTTAATAAAATAAATAACTAATTTACCTCTAATCATTAACCCATGTTTTTATAACTGAGTTAACTCCGTGTGTTGCCTGCTGCTAGCATACATAACACCTGACGTGGAAACGTTACTCGTGGACGGGGCTACAGAGCTACTAGAAAGACAGTGGAACCATTCCTCCGTCTGGATGTTGAGCACTTTGGCTAAATGTTTAGATAAATTGCTCGTGTTACCGCCCTGACATGCTAAACTCTTATTGCACTTTTGGCAACGAGCATTGTCCACATCGAGACGGGTAAAGTTTAACCACACCTCGGAGCGCGTTCTCTCCGCCATCTCCTCCGTGTGTTGCTGCATGTAGCAGCTGCGTGTGTGTAAACTGCCCCGCCCCCTCGCAAGCAGGCGGGGGAGAGATCTCTCGTCTGAATTGGGAAGATCGAAAATACATTATAGACGCATTTTGTAGTCATATTGCATATTAGAAACGGAGTTGGCGACACTAAGACTGCGATATCATGTTTATGTAGCAATAATACATATGACATGTTTTAAAATGTCTCCTGTACCGATAAAAAAGAGCGATAACGTTGGAGCTTAACGGGGTTGTAGAACACATGTGATGACATCACCAACGAATCGACGACTGAATTAGTTGCCAACTAATTTGGTAATCGATTAAGTCGATTAGTTGTTGCACCCTAATGTCACCAAAACAACTCTCTCTACCAGCTCACCTCCAAACCTATGAGGCAACCGCCCGCCCCAGAGACGAGGGCCTGCTTCGCTTGTGAAGCTCCCGGCGGGGCTGCCTCTAGAGCGCTCACCTCCTACTGCTGCTGCCAAACAGGCCGGTCCTGCCCATGCTATCCACCGCACAAGTCCCTCCACTCAGCGAGGCGTGCGACTTAGAGGACCACCGCTCCAAGAGTCCCGAAAGGACCTACTCTTCCTGTTTTGGTTCTGGCAAGTTAATATCTCGTGTCTTCGCCGGTCCCCTTTAACGTGTTTCTGAGTTCAACAGGCTCTGTTTTCTCTCAGTTTTGTCTATAAGTTTGCCCTATAAGATGTACATTAATTGTGTACTCGATAATGTAATACAGAAATTTACACCACACCACTCCTTTAGCTGTGACTTATGTAAAATCTAATATAAAAATTTTTTTTGATAATGAACTTCCTTTTTGAGTACTTTACCTTCATAGCTCAGTCGAACAACAAAATTTTTTTATTTTTTAATCTCAAAGAACTAACGAAAACTTTTGTGTACAAAACTCTAGCAGCGAGTGGAACATCACAGGGGAGTTTGAGCATCGTCCCAATCGCCGTCAGGTACTGACTACTGTGCGAGTGATCCTACTAATTGACCTGACCTTCTCTCGCTGTGGTAGACTTCCGTGTCTCTTGTGTTGCAATCTATAAAATTCTCACACTGGTACCGTATTGAAAATTGATCTATCTTTTGTGATACTCACAAAAGGGACTCACGAGGGGGGGAGGGGGGGGGCGGGGCGGGGGCGGGGGGGGGGGGGGGGGAGGCACAGACCCACTACATGAACTCGAACTACAACGGAAGGTGAAACCTTCGTGTTCTTCTGACTTCTCTGTTTTATCATTTAACCTAATCCTGCTACACTAAGGTGTGGTGATTCATAGTCACCTTCCTTGTGCTCGCCATTCAAGTAATGGAACACTTTAGACGGAAATCTAGTAATCTCCACAGCAGCGGCACGGTCGTCGAAAGCTACATAAGCAGACGTCGATTCTGAACCCTGAAACTCGTCTCTCCGTCCGGGACTTCTTGCCTCCTCCTTTGTAAATCCCCCCGGTACCTCCTTTTGTATCGGTTAATTTTGCTAGCGACAATTTCTACCTTTGTTTATCGGTCAGCCGGAGTCGTTCACAAAGAGGTGACTCCTCCGCCTCCCAGTCCCCTTTCTCTCAAATTGTGCGCGTCGATAATAAGACAACATCGTAGTCGCTTATGAATAAAAGTTTACGTACGGGTTTCTATTCAGTGTACTGTATCACACAATTTGCGTATACGGTTTTATGTCGTAGGACAACGTAAAGGTCATTAACCGCCGCCAACTCTGACTGGGTGTTAACTCTCACAGGCTAGAGCTAGTGCACTAGCCCCTAAGCCTCACTATGCACTAAAAGTTTTTAGCCTTCTTTTTTAACCCCTAGCTAAAAAAAGACCATTTATGAAAAAGAAAAAAGAGTTACATGTTTTGTCTTTTACCCTGGTACAACGCTCCTCAGAATTTCAGTAGCGACTCGAATCAAACCAAAGTTTACTGTCTTGTAGTACATAACACGAGAAACCGCCAACAACAAAGTATCTGACCAGACGAATAAATAGGAGTTTCTAGACCGTTGCTCCCCGTCCACGTCACAGATTAACATCGTCATTCGATTACTCACATGACTTTCGAAGATAAAACAAAACTAGGTTAGACGTGTCTACTTGACTAGGTTACGCGACATTTCTTTCTTCGATATAGGTACAACCTATCTTATAGGTTAAATTTATTTTTTATTGCGAATTCCTTGTTGAACTTACGACAAAAGAAAAAAAGAGAATTACGTAACGTATTGCCTGCCTAGCCCCCTTTTTAGCCATAAGCTCCGTTTACAGTTTTAGATTACTAGCCTTCGTTTTTTTCCACCTAGCCGTACTAGGATGGATGATAAGTTTACAAAAAAGTTGTAAACTGGGCAAGTCGACAACTAGCAGTAGAGTTTGGTGACCCGACTAACGTTAAGTAAACTCAATTCTGCCTACGAGAACACTCCTGAGGCGCAAGACCCACTAGACGCAACAAGCGTCCCCCTGGACTCAAGGACGGTGCGACGCCGCCGGAGAAGTGGCCTCGCGCCGCAATAACAGTAGAAGTCTGTCCAGACCCGCGAAGCGTGGCTGCCCGCACTCCCCTCCCCCGAGGCCGTACCTCCCCTGCCTTGTCGACGCCCGGTCCGTCTCCTAGTTTCCGACCTCCTTTCTTGTTTCACAATTGCTTAGTCTGGCAGTTCCCAGATTTGTGCGATGTCAACCGTCTACATACGTTATTCCTCAAAAATCAGAAATAGGTTCCGAGGAGGG